GAGGCTATCAATTTGAGAGTGGGGGTCTTAGAAGGAGTTGGAGGGAAGGGATTGGGAGGGGCTGGAAGGAGGAAAGGGAAGGGAGAAAGGGCTGTAATTATGTTTAAATTAAAATTTAAAAATCCATTGTAAGGAAGGGAATGTGAGGGGTCGGGAGATGGCTCAGTGGCAAAGTGCCTACTGTGCAGGCATGGACAGTGCAAGTGTCCTCAAGCTTAGCACTGGTCTGCGTGGGTGTTTCAGGTGGAGACAGGAGTCTAAACTAATCAATGAACTTCAGGTTCAGTGAGAGACCCTGCCTCAAAAACACATTGGAGAGCCATTGGCGGGAGACTGGTGATTGGCTTCCACACTTGCAGGTATAGGCCAGAGTGAAACACATGCATGTGTAACCCCACCCCTACCCTCCAGGAAATGTGAAAGCCAGATCAAATGAGAGCATGTATATCACAAGATTTAGTTACGGAGCACAGATGGTCTCCAGGGATGGTGTTTTCTGCTCATGTCTCCAGGGGGCAGAAGATTGTTCTGTCTTGGGGAGAAGTAGGAAACTCTGCTGTGCTGGGTAGTTTTCTGTCCGCTTGACAGAAGGTACAGTTGTCGGAGAGGAGGGAACCTCAAATGAGACAATGCCTCCATAGGATGGGCTGTGTGCAAGCTGTGGGGCGTTTTCGTAGTGATTGATGGGGTGGGTGGGAGACCATTGTGTGTGTGGGGGCACCTGGGCTGCTGGCCCTGGGTTCTATAAGAAAGCAGGCTGAGTAAGCCAGGGGAGCAAGCCAGTAAGCAGCGCCCTCCATGGCCTCTGCATCAGCTCCTGCTTCCAGGTTCCTGCTCTGCTTGAGTTCCTGTGCTGACTTCCTTCAGTGATGATCAGTGATGTGGAAGTGTAAGGCAAACACACCCTCTCCTCCCCAGGTTGCTTTGGTCATGGTGTTTCCTCACAGCAATGGTGACCCTGAGACACTTACGGAATTCAAATGCTGGTATTCCCAGGGAGAGGAGTGAAGATGTGGTGATTGTGTGTACCCGTGAGTTAGCTGGTAAGACTGACGCAGTTCTCACGTCCCTTAGATTCCTGGATCTTCAGTTTCAGGTGGCTGTAGTATTAGTTGGCTCTGAAAGTGAATTGGCCTTTAGGAGCTTAGAAATAGGAAGTCCACAGGAAGAGCCTCGGAATCTGTGTTTCCCCGAGGCTGTTTTGAAAAGAAGGGAAAGTGGTGTTTCCTGTTTTCTTTCTTAACCAGAGGAATCTGTTCAGTATCAGCGTAGAAGAAAAGCGTTTTGTAGATGAAAGGAACAAGTGTGGGGCAGAGTCAGCCGCTCCCTCCAGGGACAGGCTCTCAGGCCAGAGGGACGCCAGCGCTTCCCCTCGCCTTGTCTTCCTGAAACTATCCTTCTTAGATGTGAAATTCTAAAAGTGAGGTGTACAACTTCCAGGAAGCCTTTATCACGCCAGTCTGGGGCCATCTAGAGCTCTTAACTCTTCCCATGCTGCACCTTGGCTCTTTAGTTGCGTTTAGTGCAGCCTGTGATCCCAGCCCTTGGGAGGTGGAGGCAGGAGGATCAGGAGTTCAAGGCCAACCTGGCCCGAGCTGCATAAGACCGGCCTCAACTCCCCTCCCCACATAAATAAAAGTTAAGAAATACATATGTTCATATGTAGGGTATGGAGACTTTCAAATAAAGAGAGGAGAAGAACACACATAAATCTATCTACAGATGGTGGCAGTGAGCCTTCAGGCCACATGAAGATCTTTCAGGAAGACAGCGGTGTAGCTTCTCCATTCCTTCATCTTCATACACCCATGTGGGCTCGCAAGCGTCCCTGCTCTGTCTTCTCCATACACTCTACTGAAACACTAACATTCGAGACGTTCTTCCACTTACGAAGGGTTGAGGCGGCCCATTTTGAGCTGTTAGTTTTACTTTCCGAGGAAAAACCCAGTGAAAGTAGCCAGCTCTGTAATGTATGGTAACAGACAGTGGTGTTTGAGGGCCGTGCCTACGGAATAGAGGAGCTCCCTCTCTGCTCTTCACTGAGGTCAAAAGATTAAATTTGTGTTAAGAATTGCAAAACTTCAAAAAAAAAAAAAAATTCAAGCCCTCTTGACCACAAGGTATGCTAATGCTCATGACTGTGGCCCCAGAGGCCGGACAGTGTGTAGCTCATAAGCAACACGAGATAATTTTTGTTTTGTTTTGTTTTTGAGACAGTGTCTAATGTAAGCATGTAAGCTTAGGCTATCCTTGGTTGGTGTTGAACTCCTGATCTACCTGCCTTCACCCCCTGGGATTAGAGGCTCACTCCACTAAGTGTGGCTTTAGGAACAGCTCGCTGCCTTTTGATTCCTTCTGTGTCGATTGGAGGTGTGTCTTGGGGATGGCAGCTTTTCCTTTTTGATCACACGTGACTACATTTAGTTGTTGGGAAATGCTGGAAGTTTGGTGTCTGCATGAGACGCATCTCGCTTCTCTGCTTGACCCTTTCCGGCAGTCCCTAGAAGTGCCCTGGTCTTGGATCGCCTCAGAAACAGTCACCTGCTTCAGCTTTAACGAGGTAGCTTCCATCCCGTCCAACTTTCTGGAAACACACGTAGCTTCTTGCGCTGTAATGACTGTGGGAATCACTCTGCAGCTGCCAGAGGTTTTTCTGGCCAGGGAACTTCTCTTGCCAACTATTTTCTCTAAGAATATCTCCCTTTTATGTCTGCTCAGCCAGGAAGTGATAGCTGTGTCTCATGTTCTCGCTGTTTTGAAGACGGCAGTGTGGTTAAGGGAACGGGACGGGTAGGTGCTGAGCTCCAGACCTCGTTCCCAACCGCAGTCTCTGAAGGTTTTATAGGACAGAAAGTTCCTGGCTACTTAATGCTCTGCTCTGTTCTGTCCTGGCACTCTTCCTGGCCGGGTGATTTTGGAGGTCTCTTATGTCGTCTGTGTCTAGAATGCATGATGTCAAATACATGGTTTTCTCAGGGGTGAGTCTGAATCTTGGTGTCGTTGGTCCCTTGTTTTACCTTTCTTCCTGAGAAGGGAGCCTCAATTGAGAAAATGCCTCCATAAGACTGGATTGTAGGCGAGCCTGTAGGGCGTTTTCCTAAGAAGTGATCAATGCAAGGAGGGCCCAGCTCGCCTGGTGAAATCTATTCTATTTCCCCTCCCCAGGGAGATCCTTGCGACCCCCTTTTACAATAGCCACAGACAATATAAAATATCTTGGGGTAATGCTAACCAAGCAAGGAAAGACCTGTATGATAAAAACTTCAAGGCTTTGAAGAAGGAAACTGGAGAGGACACCAGAAGATGGAAAGATCTCTCATGCTCACAGAGATTAACATAGTAAAAATGGCCAACCTGCTGGGTTTTCTAGTTGAAATCAGTGGTTGAGTGTATCTTAGAATGGACAGACCGACGCTCCTTGCTCCCCCCCCCCTCCTTCCTTCCATTATTTCCAAACTCAGTTCCATTTTTTCAGTCTTTAGGATGGAATGCTCAGTTTCTACAGAAGTTTTGTCAGGAGCAGTGTGGCTCCTTAGGTTTACCGGTTTTATGGAGGCTCTGGGTAGCCCAGACCAGACCCTCTTTACAGAAGTGCCCTGCATTTTGATTAATTGCTTTCGGTCTGATTTCTCTCTAAGACTGCTCAGCACTGAGATTAGGGGAGGAGCTCGATGACACTCAGCTCAGAATGGGAGGCACAGATGGGCTGGGTGTCACCTCACTTCTGTAATTTTTATGTGCCCTAAATAGGACTGATCTTTTTTTTTTTTTTTTTTAATAATTATGTTTTGAATTCTAAACATATCTTGGCTCCTTAGAAAATCTGGTCTTTCTTTCATGGCCATTTTGTCTAAGTCTGATGCTGTGATATACTCAGGGCTGCTCGAAGCCTTTCCGATTCCATGCCAGGAACTCCAGTTAGATTGGGTGGTAGTTTGGCTTTGCTCCTTCTTGACGCCATCCAGCTTCCCATTTCTAAGAAAGCACCATCTAAAGACCCCACAGGAATTTCTGCATGCCTGGCAGCTTCTGTGGATTCTCTTGGTAACTAAATAAACCAGGAACCAAAGTTTCATGTTTGGGTTTTTATCCAAAGTGAATGGAATCGATGCACTGGGAAGATTCTGGTTAATACCAGAATGAAAAAGGACGAAGAGGATAGCTGATACTTGGACACCTTCCTTTGTGTGTATCTAACTCACTTCGTAGTATTATGACAGCGCTTCCTCTGTGTTTCTATATGTACATATGTAGAGGTGTATGCATGTGTAAATGTACATATTAAATTATTTTATTTATTCATTGGCAATTTCATACATGAGTGCAATGTATTTAGATCATATCCAGTCCGAGGTCCTCCCCTCACACTCTCTCTGTCTCCGTGTCTTCTGCCCAATGTCATTCCACCTCTTCATCCTTCGATTACCCACGAGTCAGTTAGTGCTGTCCAGTACTTGTGCAAGAGTGTAGGGCCACCCGCTCCAGGATGGGCAGCCTGCTAGGGCTGCACCTCTCAAGAAAAATGACTGTCTCTCGGCAGCTGTCACCTGCTAGCAGCTCTCCAGTTAAGGACCGGGCCTTGTGAGCCCCACTGCTCCCCATACTTGGAGGAATATTGCCTGCTTGATCGTAGGCATGTCATTTTAAATATATATATGTGTGTGTGTGTGTGTGTGTGTGTGTGTGTGTGTGTGTGTGTGTATGCAACCTTGCTGATTGGTTAGTGCTTACTTGCATAACGTCCTAGGGTCAGGGCATTTCCCTTAATGGGGTTTTAGACAGCTCAGCTGTGCTTGGTGACTGTCAAGGTCATAGCTGATCTAACCAGTTTCATACCACTTAATGCTTCCTGTTCTTTGCGCAATCAGATCTTTTTATGAATCTAGGACTCCCGAAAAGTTTCTGAGTATTCAAACTGTAAATATTTATCCGATGTCCTTGTGTGGAGTGTGGCTGCTGTGTGTGATGATGCTAACAGTACAAACATTCTTTCCCTCTAGGTTGGTGGATGACCGGTGTGTGGTACACCCAGAGGCAGGGGACCTTGCTAACCCACCCAAGAAGTTCAGAGGTAAGAAAAAAATGTAGATAGTGTTACTTAAGAAGGCAGATTATTTCATGTCTTAAGGTAAATAATGTTAAAATTGTACTCAGGGTGTCACTGAAGATTATTTCCAGTTCCCCATAGTGTTTGGTTGTTGTTAAACTTTGAGTGATCTATGATGAAGAATTATCTGAGTTTTGTTTTGCAATGTGACATCTACACACTGACAAGAAGTCCTGGCAATTAACCATGAAAGATGACCTTTTCAAGCCAGTTAATAAGAACTAAGTGCTACTTATTTATAGATTTCTGTGGCAGTCATATTATAGTGTTTTACTGATAGCTTGTTAATTATCTTTATGAATGTTCCATGTTGCACGAACATAGCTTTAACGTCACACCCAGATGATGTGTGGTAACTAACTGTTGTCTTAGAGCTTGGTTCCAAGTGACCTCTGAGAAGCAGCTTCATGGTCTCCTTGGCTGAGAAACCATTTGCAGCAGCAGGTTTATTATAACTCAGCTCCTGCAAAAGGATTAATAGGACCTGTAGAACATTCTAGAAAATGAAAAGTAGTGATTAAAACAACATAACAACAGCACACAAACATTAAACGTTAGGATCCACATATAGGAGAGAAAACGTGATGTCTTTCTGAGCTGGAGTGCCTCACTTACTACATGTCTTAGGTTTCTTTTCTTTTCTTTCTTTCTGTTTTTTGAGACAAGGTTTTCCTCTGTAGCATGAATGCTGGCTGTCCTGGAACTCACTCTGTAGATCAGGCTGGCCTTGCACCACTACTTGCCAGGCTTTGACCAAAAGCAACTTGGGAGAAAAGCATTCATTTTAGCTCACAACTCTTGGTCACACTCAGTCACTGAAGGAATTCAGGGTTGGAATTCAAAGCAGGAGCTGATGCAGAGGCCATGAAGGAGTGCTGCTTGCTCCCCAGGGCTTGCTCAGTCTGCTTTCTTATACAACCCAGGCCTACCTGCCCAGGGTGGCACTGCTCACAGTGGGCTGAGGCCTCCCATATCAACTACTAATTAAGATAATGCTTCAGAGACTTGCTTACGGGCCAATCTGATGGAGGCGTTTTCTCAGCTGTGGTTCCCTCTTCCCAGGTAACTCTAGCTTGTGTCAAGTTTAAAACAAAACAAACAAAAACAACACCCCCCCCACACACACAAAAAAAACGAGGACAATATAATAATGTTTACATCCATCCGTTTCCCTACAAATTTTATAATTTCATTTTATTTACAACTGAGTAAAATTCCATTGTGTATCTATGCCACATGTCGTTATCCATTCATCTGTTGACGGATACCTGGACGGTTCCATTTCCAGGCTATTGTGAACACACCAGCAATAAACAGGGATGTGCAAGTATCTCTGCTGTAGGCTATAGAGTCCTCTGAACATAGACCCAGGAGCAGACAAGGCTGTACCAGTTTACACTCCCTTCAGCAGAGAACAAGAATTCCTCTTTCCTTGAACTTCTTTTTTATAAAACTTGTTTTATAGTGTGTCTGCATGCACACGTGTGCTCCCGAGTACATGAATACGTGGCACCTGTGTGCTGCCCCCACAAAGGCCAAAAGAGGTGTTAGATCTGGGGTTGCAGGTGCTTCTGAGCTGCCTGCCGTGGGTGCCGGGAACTGAACCTGTGTCCTTTACAAGAAGAGCAAATGCTCGTAACCACTGAGGCATCTCTCCAGCCTTGTCACTTGCTTTTTTCTTTATTTCTCTGATCATAGCCATTCTGCTCAAATGAGACAGAATCTTAACGTTTTCATTTGTGTTTTCCTGATTGGCTAAGGATGTTGAACATGAAATGCTTATTTGTATAATGATAGTTTATGTTTCTTCTTTTGGGAACTATTTATTTCATCAGCCCATTTATTGGTGGGCAGTTTTGTTTCTTTGTTCAGTTGTCAGCTTATCCTAGTCAGGGTTTCTATTGCTGCAATGAAACACCACGACCCAAAGCAAGCTGGGGAGGAGAGGGTGTGTTTGCCTTACACTTCCACATCATAGTCCATCACTGAAGGAAGCCTGGACAGGAACTCAAACAGGGCAGGGACCTGGAGGCCGGAGCTGAGCAGAGGCCATGGAGGGGTGCTATCTACTGCCTTACTCCCCATGGCTTGCTCAGCCTGGGTTTTTATAGAACCCAGGACCACCAGCCCAGGGATAGCACCACCCACAATGGGCTGGGCCCTCCCCCATCAATCTTGAATTAAGAAAATGCCCTACAGGCCTGCCTACAGCCAGATCTCTTCTCAATTGAGGTTCCCTCCTCTTTGATGATCCTAGCCTATGTCAAGTTGACATAAAACCACACAGCACACAATTCTTCATATATTCTAAGTTTTTAACTTCCCTGTCTGAGATATGGCTGGTGAAGATTGTCCTCCATTCCATCCACTCATTCTGCTGATGGTTTTCTTTGCTGTGTGAAAACGTCTTAGCTTTTTGTAGCTCCATTTCTTCATTGTTACACTGCTGTGCTGTTGGAGAGTCCTGTTTAGATGGTTCAAAAGAGAGTAGTTTAAAAGGCAAACTGGGACAATGCAGTGTTTGTAACGGGGAAAGTCATGAACGTCAGAGTTTCACGGTATTGTCTGAGGGCTGTGTCATCTAAAGTGGGTCACCTGTCGGGAGCCTGCGATGGCGTCTGTCACTGTCCCATGAGAATTCAGCTGGATAGCAAGAACAGTGTCCACTGGTGAGGGGTTGTAAGCCTTTCTGTCTTCCCAGAGACAGCCACTGAAGACGTGTTTTGTATCATTATACAAATGTAGTTAAGTTATAATAGAAAGGCATAATGTGTTTCCATTAAAATGTTAGGCTCTGCCCCTTACAGCCTACCCTCTTCTGGGACAGAATTTTTTTCATTTTATTTTATTTTTCTCAGTCATTAAATTTTACCCATAGAAGACCGCTTCTTTTCTCCTGAAAACAGCCATTGGATACTGTGGGCTGAGATATCCAAGCTCTCTCTGGGATCACGTGATCAAACTTGGTTCCCAGGGGTGTCCCAGGTTTGTTCTGTGAGTCTCAGTAGCCTGATTCCCTGTTCTCAGGGGGATTTTCCCTTCCCACAGAGCAGGTTGTATGCAAGTACAGGTTATCCTGGAGAACACAAGGGTCTGAGCCAACAGCTCTGTGCCCAAGAGGCAAATAGATTCAGATGCCTGGGCCCCTGTTATCCAGTGGACAGGGCTTCAAGGTGTGAATCGCTCGGAGCTGGAGCCTGGCTTCCCTGTAATCTGACTCTCAGCTCCCCACCCTGCAGGTGGGCTCTCAGTTCCTGCCTCCACTTTAAAGTTAAACCATCTGTCTCTCCATTTATCACCAGAGAAGGGTGTCCTTTCCTGTCGGGACCTAGAGATCCCCTTGTCTGAGAACCCAGCTCTTCTCTAAGATTTATGTATTCTCATGCCAGCAGAGCCCAGAGCAGAAGTCTCTGAGCTTGGCTTGCTTCTGTCCTGGTTTCCCCAGCGGCCAGGAGCAAACGCTCCCAGACGCTGCAGTCCAGCCTTGGGCAGTTTGTGGTTGCAGCTTTGCCTGCATCTAGTCTGCTGCCTGTGTCTGTTTCTCCTGCCCTCCCATCCAGCCGGAACAGCCATCACAGGCCCCAGAGCTGATTCCGGGAATCACAAGCCCAGCGTGTCCAGACTGCTCTGCCAAGCTCCCCGAACCATGTTTCTTTCTTAGATGCTATGAAGGGACAATAGCCATCATCCCCTTGGTTCCTCTCCTCCAGCCGAGCATATGCTGTTCTTAATTTCAACAGTTTTCATTGTTCAACAGTGAAATGTGACTCTATCTCAATTCCTCCAATTTCTTGAGAAATTAACTTTTTTGGAACTAAAGTTCCAAATGGGTTAAAGTGATGGTTTTTCCAACTATGCATAATTGTGAAGTTTCCTAAGGATGTGTCATGAGAATTTTTACTTTTAGAGAGGATCTAGGCAACATCTACCACCTTCCTTCTGAAGTGCCAATGGCAAACCAGACTTCTCCCTGGGGAGCCCATGAGTTTATTGGGCTTAGGTACAAAGCATGGGTGAGGAGTGACTAGTAGGAGAGTGGGTGACTTAAATTACTGCCTCAGAAGGTCTGCATCAGGCATGGATGGTGACTCCTCTGTGTCTGTGTAGATGGAGTTCCCTGCCTGCCTTCAGTCTCCCAGCCTGAATACTCAAATCCCTGCCCGAGACCTGAGGCCTGTACATTAGGACAGAAATGTGTGCCACTGGCTAGCTGCCTAGGCCAGGGTTCAGTGACCTCCCTCCTGCTCCTTCTCTGAAGGAGTGTCTGCAGTCCGTCAGCCCTACGGGGATGATCTGCAAACAGGCACAGCTAATCTGATGAGGAAGGCGGCAGTTTGACATCACAGCGGCCTTGTCAACAGAGAAAACCAAGTTGTTAACAAACTTCCAGAGGTCCTTAAAGCCTAGTGCACAGTTAGCTTCAGTAGAAACCACACAAGGAGAGCGCTGTGGAAGGAAACAGAGTGGCCTTGTGTTAGGTGAGCCAAGAGCCTTTGCTAATTAGATTCTTGGTTTTATTTATTCAACTTACTTGATTTTTTTTTTTTTTTTTTTGATTTGCTATGTAGCTCAGGATGGCCTTGAACTTTGATGCTCCTGTCTCCACCTCCTGAGTGTTGGGATTACCAGTGTGTGCCTGGCTTTCTCTGTTTTAAAAAAATAATCTTGAAACACAGTGGTAAAGGCACTTGTTCCAGGGAGAAACCTGCCCTCTTCCTTTTCTCAAATACGTGTGTATCAGCTACGTTTCTCCTTGTGGCCAAACGCCTAAGACACCGACCCAAGGGAAGAAGGGTTTACTCGGCCCATGGGTTGAGGCTTGCATCTGTGGAGTCAGGCAAGGCATGATGGCAGGAACAGCTTTGGACCATGGCAGGAGGATGGGGGAGGTGCTTGCTCACATCTGGGCAGATAAGAAGCAAAGAAAGGGAATTGTGGGCATTCTGCTGGCAGTCTCTCTTTCT